GCGACAGCGCCTCTTTCCTGCGGGGTCCCACAGGGCTGAGTTTTCGGACACCTTTTGTTTTCACTACCCTTTGGAGTCTATCCTGAGGAAACATGGTCTTTCATTTCACTGTTATGTTGATGATTGTCAGATTTATCTGCACCTAAAACCTAATAGCTCTTGCTCCATTCACCCTCTGTTAAAATGTCTTGATGACGTCAAGGCATGGACGGCTTCACACGTTTTAAGTTTTAATGATCAGAAAACTGAAGTTATTGTGTTTAGCCCTAGCTCTGCTGCGGTGTCTGTTCCTGTAAACCTTGACTCTCTTCAGCCATATTTGAAGCAGTTTGTTACAAATCTCCTGATGGTTTTTTAGACTCCGACTTTAAGTTCAATAAACAAATGAACTCTGTTCTGCAAAAAAGCTTCTTCCAGTTAAGGCAGAAACAAAGTTGAAGCTCAGAGGTGATCGGACTTTTTCAGTCGTGGACTCCAAACTTTGGAACAACCTGCCGCCCAACTTTAGACACGCCACTTCACGTCCCATTTTTAAACCTCTGTTATAAACACGTCTGTTTTCTACGGGTTTTTACACAGTGTGACTCGATTTAGCATTTTATGGCTCTGCGTTTCTATGTTTTTCTTTTGATGCTTTTAGTTAATTTTCAGTTCTACCATTATTTTATTTTATTTTATCCATGAAATTACTGCGATTGATTTTATTGTCAAGCACTTTGGTAACAGCTGCTGTTTTCAATTTGTTTTATAGTAAGTACATTTTATTTATCTAGCACCTTTTACAGGTCAGAAACCACAAAGTGCTTTACAGAATACAAAACACAAACGATAAATAAATTATAAATAAAGTTGACCTGTTCTTGATGGATTCAAACTTTGAGTTTGGTCTGACTGCAGAACCTTCTTTCAGATGTTTGGAGGAGAAAAAACTCTTGCATTATATTTTTTTAATCAACGTCTTTTCCAGTCTCTCTCCCATAACGCTCAGCTCTGTGTAGCTCATAGTGGCCGTATGAACTCTCTACAGATCCTTCATCAGGGATACCTTTGACCTCTAAATAATGCCCTCCTTACCTAATTCAGGAGTTTTTGATAGAAAGATGACATTAGAATTAATATAATGAAGCTCCACGGTGTGTTCAAGGTTGTGGGATATTTTTATGTGCCAACCCTGATCTGTATTTTTCTGCAACTTTGTCTCTGACCAGTGGAGAGTTCCTTGGTCTTCATGATCAGGATATATCATTTAAAACACACATTAAAATATTTCTATGACCTCGTTCTTCCACCTACGCTTGAGAAACAGTTTGCCCCAAAAGGATGCAGAAAAACTGAATTACATAATTATAATTTCTAGGTCTTTATGGATTGTTCCTTATAGTTGTGCAAAATGCTTTAAAAGACTTGGGCTTTATGTTGCTAGAAGTATTCTCAGGTTTTATCCATTGGCTCACTGTCAAATTCAGAACAGATTTTAAAATCCTACTTCTAACATACAAAGATTTTAACAACCAGGCTCCAATTTACATTAAACACCTAATTGTTCCATATTTGCCAAATAGAGCCGCTCACTCATACCAGCTCAGAGGGAGCACACGCTACGTCCCAACACTGGGTACACAGTGAAGGTTGTGTCAGGATGAGTATCCACTGCGAGTTCAACTAAGCAACAAGACAGTGGAGAGAACAGCTGTGTTGAATGGTTAGGAAACAGTGGTATGGACAAAAAGACAGGAGACAGAACTGGAAGTGGCAGAAATGAAGATGTTGAGGTTCTCCTTAGGAGAGACAAGGATGGAGAAGATCAGGAATGAGATCATCAGAGGTACAGCACAGGTTGAACTGGGAGATGAAGTTGGAGAGGACAGACTGACATGGTTTGGACATGTCCAGAGGAAGAACAGTTTTTTGGACATGTCCAGAGGAAGAACAGTGGTTTGGTCATGTCCAGAGGAGGGACAGTGGTTTGGACATGTCCAGAGGAGGGACAGTGGTTTGGACATGT